GAGGAGAGAGCAGAGCAGAAGCCACCCGAGGCCAGGGCTGTCGCCTAGGCTGCACCCCGTACCCATCTGCCAGGTGCGCCTCCCCTGCTGAAAGTGAAAACGGAAGGAAACAGTTCTAAATATGCATCTAATATGGAAACAAAAGAATAATTACGGACCTATAATACTTTTTAAACCCCATTTAAAAATGGGCAAAGGGGGTTGGAGAGAAGTATAGCAGGTAAAGGGTTTGCCTTGCATGCAACTGATCCAGGTTCAAACCCTGGCACCCTGTATGGTCCTCCAAGCACCCCCAGGAGTGATCCCTGAGCACAGAGCCAGGAGGAAGCCCAGAGCACAGCTGGGTGTATGGGGGGGGGGGGCCTCAATTTTTAAATTTTTATTTCTTTGGTTGACTCCATGGATGTGTAAATTGGCCCAGTCATCCTAGATAAGCTGAGTGCCCTCAGAGAGCAGAGGACTAGGGAGCTCAGCGGCAAAGCACCCCCCCTTCCCAGTCCCACCCCGCAAAGCCACCCTCCAGACTGAGGGGCCCAGTACCACCGGGAAACAGCCAATACTGGACAACACAAGCAGCAGGTGTGAGCTCTGCGACTAGGGTGCAGTCCCCAGTGAGCACTCGACTTATTCAGATGAGCAAGAGTGAGCCAAGCATGCAGCCTCCTTCGAGGGCCTCCAGCCAGTGTGCACAGCTTCCGGACAATAGAACAGCCTGAAACATGGACCAGCTGGGGCTGGAGCGATAGTACATCAGGTCAGTGTTTGCCTTGCACACAGTGAACTCGGGTTCAATCCCCAGCATCCCATAAGGTCCCCTGAACACACCCCTGAGTTCGCAAGATGTAGCACCCCCCCCCCAAAAAAAATCCAAAAACAAACACAGAACAATAGACCTACTGGGGCCACAGAGACCGCTCAATGAGCACCTGCTTTTGCACACAGAAGGTCCCGAGGCCTGGATGTGACCTCTGGTCATCATAACAATGAAAGGAGGGGGGACAAGATATGTGCATCCTCCTGGTTATGACACATTATTTACGATTCCCAGAACAGAGAACTAAACTATGTGTCCACTGAAGAACAGTTAAATACACACACACACACACACACACACACACACACACACACACACAAAACTTGGCCTGAGAACAGCTCTGTACCTTACGGCACCTGCCTTGAAAGCATGAAGGTGAGAGTTCACGCTCTCATTTCACCACGTTCTGCCAACACAAGCCCCAGCAAGCCCAGATGGAATCTCACCAGAACATGGAGTTGGCCCCACCTATGAGCACTCCAACAGGGAGTACCACAAGGAAACCGGAGAACTCCAGTGTGCGTGCAAGATTGTCACCACGGAAATAATAACAATGAAGGAGGGAGCATGGAATTAAAAGCAAAGGTAAGGGGCCGGAGCAATAGCACAGCGGGGTGGGAGCTCGCCTTGCAAGCGGCCGACCTGGGTTCAATCCCCAGCATCTCATAGGGTCCCCTGAGCCCTACCAGGAGTCATTTCCAAGAGCAGAGCCAGGAGTTAAGCCTTGAGCATCACCGAGTGTGACCCGCAAAGAAAAAAGTCCACCAACTGACAGGTAAGTGACATGTAGTATATTCATAAAGGAGTATTCTTCAGGCACCCACAGTTCATTCCCTGGCAACAGAGTCCCCTGAGCACCACCAGGTGTGGCCACCCCACACAGGAACAAAGTGATGATACAAGCTACAGCATCTATGAACCTCGAAAACACTGCTAATTAGACTTGTAAGTCTCCAGAGCAAAACCTTTTTTGTTTTGTTTTTATTTTTAGGCCAAACCCACTTGGGGCTTACTCCAGACTCTGTGCTCCAGGATGACTCCTGGCAGGGCTCAGGGAACTATCCAGGGTGCCAGGGATGGAGCCTGGGTCAGCACGTGCATGCAAGGCGAGCAACCTACTCAGCCTCCTGAACCCAAGTTCTGAACCACAGGGCCTTGGCTCAACACCAACCTCTCCAAAGACATAATCTGATCAATCATTTTTAAAACTCGTTTTTGGCAAATTACAGATAGGTAGCTGGGCTCTCAAATCCTAGACACAGATGAAGCCAGGATGAGAATGAGCTAACAAGCAGAAAATACATAGTTTGAGAATAAATGATGGATGAACAGCTGGGGGTGGAAAGATAGTACAGTGGGTAAGGCACGTGCTTTACAACTGGCTGACCCGGGCTGGATCCCCAGCAACCCCATACTGTCCCCTGAGCACTGTCAGAAGTGATTCCTGGGCACAGAGCCAGGAGTAAGCCAGAAAGAGAGAGAGAGAATAAATGAGGGAGTATCACATCAGCCTTTAAAGGAAAAGAGCTAAAAAGGTAAAAAGCAAAAACTCAAAAAAGGCAAAGAAACAGAATTAAAGAAGAAACGAAGAGAAATTCATACGCAAAAATTCAAACACAAATAGATCAAGTGGAATTCAGATCTGAAAAGAGGCTGGCGTGTTCTGCATGCACCCCAGTCTCAAAGGAGAGGTGTGCGTGCAAACCTCAAACCAGAGGCCCCCACAGGCCCCCAAGCGTCCAGCCAAGAGACTGAAGTGGCACTGGGCTAGTGCTGAGTGTGCCCCACACGCTCCCCCGCCAGGAAGAAGAAGAACCTAAAAAGATCCATCTTTTCATTCACTTCATTAGTGGGGACAGAGCCAAGTCATGGGTTGAGCAATCAACAGGAGTCAAGGAAACGGCGTGGTGAGCAAAAACAGCCTTCAGGAGGAAGGGATCAGACCAGGCTCCATTACTCTTGTCTTTAAAGTCTAAAACTTAAAGCCTCAGGGGAAGAAGTCAAGGAAGAGGGAACCACAGAAGGAAACTGCCAGATCCGTCTCTAAGAGAACAAAGAAGTCAACCAAGCTTGAAGAGGCCCCTTTCAAAACAAAGATGTCAGCATATAGATGCAGTAAGGCCAATTGTATCATCTATATCTTGGGGGAAAGAGGATAAGAACGCTCCACATAACTCAGCTTTTCAGGCATTTAAGTTTTGTTCTGATTTTTAATTAACGCAATTTCTGGGCCAGGGAGACAGTGGGGGCTAAGGTGCTTGCCTGTGACTGTCCAGCCCACTTCTCCCTCCAGCACTGAGAGGAGGTCTATGGTCTCCCAAGCGCTGAAATGACCCCTAAGCACAAAGTCAGAGGGGCCCCCAGCCTCCTGGCCCCAAACCCCACAGCCCTGCCAAATTTTGTTATGGTTTGGTTTGGTTGATTTGGGGGCCATACCAGGCTTTGTTCAGGGTATACTCTTGGCTCTGTGTTCAGAGATCACGCCTGGCAGTGCTCAGAGGACAATGTTGGGTGCAGGGTATCAAATTCGGGTTGGCCTCATGCAAAGAAAGCACAATTCCTACTGGCTATCTCGCCAAACCCTGCCCCTCTGTGTCACAGCATTCTTCGGACAGTTGCTCTCCTAGATGACTTCAGGGCACTGTGACTTTGATTCTTCTACTAGGAAGTGAAGTAGCTGAGTCTGCAGGTTAAATTTTTCAAATCTTTGACTGTCCTACATTGTTAGTTGACATTTTCCCTGTCATATTTCCAAATTAAAAACCACTTCTTCATTTGTGATTCCAATCAGCTCGTTTGAAAATTCAATATTGTTTTCAGTATTCAATTTTCAATATTCAATTTTCATTATTCAATTCAAATTCAATATTCAGTATTCAATAATGCCCCAAATAAGTGATAATGGGGCTTTGAAGGGAAGTACGGAGTAAAGTGCTTGACTTGCTCACAACTCCCACAGAGTTTCTAAGAGACCTGTTTCACTTTCCACCCATGGAGACACACCTGCTTCCAAAAGACACTTTTAAAAGGCTGGTCACACGGGCCTCGTGTCGGCATCCCCCAGTCACTGAACAGACTTCCTTGCCCCACAGTCATTTCCAATAAAGTTATAACCTTTCATACCATTTGGCTATGTAAAAGCAGTCAGGCATATTTCGCATAATTAGGTATTTTTCAAGTTAAATTTATATCCTCCACAGAATCTTGGCTTGAATCCCTTTCAAGTTTCACACAGATTTCACAAACAGCACAGAGCTAAAAAGGACTATATCAGGCACATAGGCGGGCAGTTTACTAAATTTTAAGAACTCAATCCTTTAGTTCCCCTGATTTCATTTAATACTTTTCCCGTGGTGCCAGGGCTGCACCCAGAGCCTCACAGCAAGGCTAAGAGCCACGTCTCTGGCACATTTATTCTTAATATCGGGGCCAATAGAGTGGGTACGATGCTTGCCTTACAAGCAGCTGGCCGGGGGTCAGTCCTGGACACTGGCCCCAGAGCACCGTCAGGATTCAGCCAGGAATGAGCCCTGAACACTGCTGGGTGTGACTCAAGAACAAAACCTAAAAAATTATGAATGGTTACAACGTCTCTTTACAAAACAAAACAAAACAAATTTCAACACAGCAGAAACAGAAGTGCAGAATTAAATCGGAGGAAAGATGACTTCTTAGGTTGCAAAGGAAGTTCAGGATTACATTTTTGTGGTCTCCAAGAGTACACACACACACACTCCCGTGGCCTCCAAGAGTGCATGCACTCACACACACACCCCGTGCCCTCCGAGAATGCACACACGCACGCACACCCCCGTGCCTCCGAGCGTACACACACACGCACGCACAAACATACATGCACACACACACACAGGCGCGCACGCACAAACACGCGCACACACATGCACATGCACGCACACGCACGAATACACACATGCACACGAACACACACGCGCACACGAACACACACGCGCACACGCACATACACACACGCACAGACAAGCACACGCGCGCACACACACGCTCACACACAAACACACAAGCACACACAAGCACACGCGCGCACAAACATTCACACACGCGCGCGCGCGCACACACACGCGCACATACACGCGCACACACACACACACACACACACACACACTCACACTCGAGCACACACCCGCCGAGGCCCGCCCGCCGCGCGTACCTGTATTGCCAGCCCTTGGCGCCGCCCGCGCGGCCGCCCCTGCCGGGCTCGGGCTGGGCCTCGGCCTCCGGCGCCGGCTCGGGGCCCTGCATCCTGCGCGCCGGACCCGGGTGGCCGTGCGGGACCCGCGCCCGGCCCAGCGTGGACGCCGCGGCCGCCGCCCCACCCACAGCACTCGGCCGCTCCGCCGCCTCCCGCCGGCCCTTCCGGAGGCCCGTGACCTCACTTCCGCCGCCCGAAGCGGCGCGCGCCATCTTGGAGCCGGGCAAGCGCCCGGGAGGAGGCGGGGCCTCGCGGCACAGGGGGCGGGGCGGGGCCGGAGGGGCGGGGCCGGCGGAGATGCGCCCAGGCAGGGCGACTTCCGGCCCTCAGGCCTCGGGCCTGTCCTGTCACGGGCCTGGTTCTGGAGTTGAGGAAGGAAGCTCAAAGAGTTAAAGCCATTTCTATAAGAGTTCGTAAAAATAAAGAACTTTAGTTAGGCATTTTGCCAAAGGGCGCATGGCATTGAATGACGTCAGTTAGTGTTCTATCGAAAAAGGAGCAGGCCAGGACAACTGCTCTTGGCCTCAGGCAGATCCTGCACCCTCCCTGCTCTTTGCTTTGCTGGGCAAAACAGGGGTGCTTAACTCGGTGGCTTCTAAAGTCTCTTCGGATCGAAAATGCTGGTTCTTAGCAATTAGTTCGTATGCCACAATCAACATGCTTTGGCAGATGCCCAGGAGTAGTACACACAGAGGGAGGGTCAGCCGAGCAGTGACCACTGTAGATGGAGAGAGACTGCAGACGGTCAAGGCCACGAAGAACATGAAATTTTCTTCATCCAAGGAGTGTTGCTATCCAATTTATATGGTTGGTTGGTTTGTTTGTCTTTTGGGTCACAGGGTTTTGCGATGCACAGGGGTTACTCCTGGCTTTGCACTCAGGAACTGCTCCTGACAGGGCTGGGGAGCCATATGGGATGCTGCGAATCAAACCCGGGTCGCCTGCGTGCAAGGCAAACACCCTCCTTGCTGTGCTATCTCTCCAGCCCCGATGTTTTGAAAGATCCCTCAAATCTTTTCAATAATCTGTGCTGGCACAATTGATATCCACATGAAGAAGAGCAGCAATGGCGCTGGGGAGATTGTACAGCAGGTAAGGTGCTCGTCTTGCACCCCAGCATCCCTTAGAGTCCCCCGTGCTACACCCCGAGTGGCCCCTGAGCTCAAAGCCGGGTGAAAACCCTGAACAAAAACTGAAAGAGGAAGCCTCAATTTACCCTTGCCAGCTGCTGTGAGCAGTCTGGTTTTTGGCTGGCCCACCCTACATTTTTGACCACCTACAAATTCCTGGGCTCTTTCTGATAAAAAATAACAGTTGTCTGTCATAAAATTCTACCCCAGAGCTTAGGCTCACAGGAACACTAAGATAATGGACAATACCTGAGGCAGATGCTAGAAAGACTCCAACCATCCAGATAACCCTGTAGATGGCCTGAAATCTACATACATGTTGATTGACAAGAAAAAAATGTGAAGGGCCTTTAAAAAGGCTTGCGCAACACTGACTTTTAACTTAGTCCTTACCAACTTCCTCCCCAGCTGTGGGAGTTTCTTTTCCTTTCTCTTTTCCTTTCCAATAAACTTTTCTATTTTCCAACTCTGAGTCTGAGAAACTTTATTACTCAATACTTTTATTCTTGAAAATATTGAAGAACCTGGGAATCGTGATGGAACAGAGGCCACAGTCTGCCTCTTCTGTGTCATCTGCATCACCACCAGGTTTACGCTTCCCCTCCCCCACCTCCAGCAAAAAGAACAGTATTGGACTTCTATTCCATATTATCACACAAAACCTAAACAGGACTAGGAATGTGGCTCAGTGGTAGCATTCATACCTTACATGTGCGATACCCTGGATTTTACCTCTGGCACCAAATAGAGTAAAAAACATGAATGTAAGAGTTCAACCATAAAATTCTTGAAAGATTAGATGTGTAGAAGCATATTTCCATAACCCAGGGATAAGTAAAATATTCTTATATACAATAAGATTTCAAAGCATAAGTGAAAATTAATAGATGAAACTTTATGAAAATTAAAAACTTCCATGCTGTGAACAATTCTATCTAGAGGGTAAAAATATATAGATAGTGAAATACCTAGCAACCATGAATCTGTTAAGAGACATGTCCAGAATGTATGAAGAACTCTTACAACTCATTAATAGAAAGATAAGTGGCCCATTTTTATTAAGTAACCTCGTCAGTGATGTTATGGTAGCCAGAACTGATGAACACACTCTCCTTGAGTAGTTGTCTGCTTTAGATGAAATGATATCTGTTGATGCCAGTGAGATAATACGGCAGATAGGGCACTTGCCCTGCACACAGCCAACTCAGGTTCAATATCTGGCATCCTGTGGGTCCCCTGAGCACCGCCAGGAGCGATCCCTGAGTACACAGCCAGGGGTAAGCCCTGAACACTGTTGGGTATGGACCGAAAACCAAAAAGAAAAGGAAAAAAATGAAAGAAATTACATGTATGAAGCACGTAGACACACATCTGACGTATGAACAAATGGAAAGTGCTGAGCCACTGTCAGCAGTTGTTCCTAGTAGGATATGTTTACTGTGGATGAAATGAGTGTTGTGTTTGGAGAGGGCCCCCTTCCCCCCAGATTTCAGTGAAGACAAACCCCCCAGCATCCTTCTAAAACAGCTAATCTGTGGGAGAACACTAGCTTCATCTCCCTAATAAAATGTAATGGGGGGGGGCTCCAGCGATAACACTAAGGTGACAGTGCTTGCCTTACATGCAGAAGACCCTGGTTCAAATCCCTAGCACTATCTATGACCCCAAGGCCTGCCAGGAATGATACATGAGCACAGAGCCAGGAGTAAATCCTGAGCACCACCGGGTCTAACTCAAAAACAAAAACTAAAAACTGTGTTTTTAATTTCTAGAAGCCTCCTGTTCAAAAGGTTATATCAATATAGAGTCCTAAGAGCATTGTGTGGAAATGTTTGTAGCTGCCAAGGTGAAAGTGCAGGGGCAGATATGAGCTCAGCTTCCATGCCACCCCTGTCTAGAGGCCTTCCCAGATGACTTTCCTCACAGAGCGCTGCCCTCTGTGCCTCCACTTCACCAGCGTGTCCTTCATTGAATCTTTGTTGTGCATTTTCCAACTACAGGAGGAGAACGTTGATTCTCTTTTGGTCCCTTTCTTATCCCCCATACTTGAGTACTGTCTGAAACATTTGCTGATTGCACAAATTAATTTATTATAGTGATAACAATCTGAACTTTACCACCGACCTTCAATTCTTGGCTCTTCCGCTTAGTATATGTGATCTTAGACAAGTTACTTACTTTACTGAGCCTCAGTTTTCTTCACATATAAAAAATGGAAATAGAATAAGCTAAGAAAATATATAGAAAGAGCTACAGTACAGTAGGTAGGATGCTTGCCCTGCACATGGACTGGCCAGGTTCAGTCCCTGGTACCCAGATGGTCCCCCTGAGCGCAGAAGATGGGACTCAAAAACAAAACAAACAAGCAAAAAATCACTGTATCAGTGTATCACTGTCATCCTGTTGTCTATCGATTTCCTCGAGCAGGCACCAGTAACGTCTCTTTCGTCCTAGCCCTGAGATTTTAGAAAGTGCCACATTCAAGACTCTTTCAGGGTCAGAGGAATGAGACCCATCATTGTTACTGGATTTTGGCATATTGAATATGCCATGGGAAGTTTGCCAGACTCTGCCATGCAGGCAGGGTACTCTCAGTAGCCTTCCGGGTTCTCCAAGAGTAAGAACTAGATAATAAGATGTCGCGCAGCCACGAATGAATGATCTTATAGTGTCTGGGTCTTGGCCGTTGATGGGATAACACAGCACCGGGGGCAGTTGGTGGGTGTAACGCCTACCTACTGGAAGATGGGGAATCTGGGTGGAAGAGGCCCAGTCCCTAACCAAGCAGGCTTGGAGATCTCCCCCCAGGTACTGCACACCTGGGTTCCTATGCCAGTTCCTTCATGCGTGAGGCTCGTCCGAACGTGCGGAGAGTGGTCTCAAGCATGGCTGTGGCTGGTTCCAGAGGTCTTAGGCTGCCGGGGCTCTGTTCAGGGTGGGGAGGGAAACTCAACCCGCCCCCTTCCAAGAGGCCCTGGTAAGGACAGCCAGGTGCAGGGGCAGGAGACTCTGTGCTGTTCTCTTCCAGGAGCTGGATTTTATAGTGTCTGGGTCTTGGCCATTGACGGGATAACACAGCGCAAACAAATAAAATTTGTAAAAAGTTCTTAGCACAATGTCTAGTGTCTGACAAGTGTGAAAATGCTTTCTATTTTTATTTTTTTCTTTCTGCCCCTAATATATAGGGAATGGAGAGTTGCTGAAGCACAAAAAATATGCTTTGGGGTCAGCAGGATAGTACAATTGTTAAGTTTGTTACCTTGCATGACGCCAACCCCAGTTCAAGCCCCTGCCCTCACTTACGTATGGCTCCCCTCATCAGCACCACCAGGACTGACCCTGACCACAGAACCAGTAGTAAGCTGGGAACACAACTGGGTGTGACCCAAACCCTACCCCCTCCCACAAATAAGCAGCCCTGGTTCTTCTCTGAGCCCCTGGTGATGGCAGCTGGAATAAAGGTTTTTGAGAATTGCGAGGTATAGAGGGGAGCAGTACTGACCCAAGGAGTGTCACTTGAGAATAATGTTGTGGACTCACAGTCTTTTTAAAATTTTACTTTATTCTTATAAAGTAGTTCACAATATTTGATTACATTTAATATTCAAACACCAGTCCCACCACCATATTTTGGATATTTCCATGCCAAACTACAACCCCTGTCCCAATGCAGAACAGAAATAATTTATTTTGTATTGCTTTTATGAATAAACTGCTGAAAATACTCCAAAACACTTTCCTTAGAGGAGGGTGTGTGAAGATTGTTGTATTTCACCCAGGGGCCATTAGGCCCTTCTATAGGAGATTTCTAATATGTTGTAAAGGGTTGAGCAGTGTGTGTGTGTGTGTGTGTATATATTTGTAAAAATATATTTCGCTCTAAGATTGGTTACCTTCTACATCAGATGGGGTGTGCTACTCCTGGAGTAGAAATGGTGTGAGGTACGAGATGTCATTTGTGGCTGCGCAGAACCACAATTTTTATTTGAGAAATTTTGCACACTTACAAC